AACAAGAGCTGCTAGGTTACAGTGGGGGGTCCACTGTGGTGACCTCACCTTTCATGAGCGACTCATTTCCTTTTCATTTATTTTTGCACTGGCATGTCGGACAAGCAGGAGGGGGACTCCAGCGGAACATTTGACATCATCAGGTGACTCCATGAAGGTGAATTCATGCGATGCCTATGTTGTCATTTCACATCCTTGCATGTTTTGTATTTTAGTTTTTGCTGAAGAAGCGTCCTATCTGTCATGTCAGGCCGGTCGAGCACACTGCACGGGGGAGACCCGAGGCGCAGTTTTCAGTCAAAGGGAGGGATCCCTGGGCCTTAGCTAGAGGGGTGTCCTCAAGATCAGGCCATGGAGACTGAGTATGGTCTATCCACGTGCTATGGCTTGCGCCCAGGATCTACTTTTCTGAGAGACCACTGCGCCAGGACCATTTGAGAGTCTTGGAGATGACGAAAGACAGGGCAAGCAACATACAGATGCAATCCGGGTGGTCAAACAAGAGGTTTGCTCCCTTGATTGCTGAAATTTTCAGTAATTTGACCAGGACATACGTTCTGAACAGGCTCCAGCTTGATCAGACACCCTTAGATTCAGATGGCATCGGGAAGGGGCTTGAGGACTGTCAATGCTTTTTCCAACTCTGCGTAGCAATGGCTTCCCAAAGGGCATGGACCATGATGGTACACCGTGTGTGCCAGCCTGATGGTTGGCTTGGAATCTTGGATGAGGACCCAGATGCACGGCGTGACAGTCTGGAAACCTTGAAAAAGGACGTCAAGATTATCACTGATGCATGGACACTGCTGCAAGCGAAGGATGCAAATGTGGATTGGCAGGCCAGCTTCTTCTTCTGCCTTACTTCATTGCACATCAACCTGTGACATTGCTAGTATGTAGCATTCTTCAGCAGTTAGATTTATAGATGGACAAGTGAACCTCCAAACGCTGTACTGATGAGAACCCACTTCCCAAAACAATTTCAGTTTTTCAGTTCACAGACAAAGGGCATGCAGAATTGACTCCGTGTTTCATTGACTGGCAGGGACTTCAGCTCCTTTTTGATGATCTATATTTTCACAGACTGACGCTTTGCCAGGACGCTTGTGAACTCTCACAAAACCATGTGTCACCAGAGATGATACATAAGTTTTTGTGGGTGCACTTTTTTAAAAGAGCTAGGCACTCAGAGTTCAGAGCACATCATGCGCGTCATCGCGTAACACTAACATATATAATTATATATATGCACGTGTAATATACATTTATATATATAATAATAATAATAATAATAATAATAATAATAATAATAATAATAATAATAATAACACACATTAAGAAGATATTGCGCGCGCATCAAAACACTGACCACATGAAGACCTAGTTATACATGCAGTGTTGCATTGTACTGCATTACTTCTGTTGCGCATGTACACCGTTCTAGAACCAAACCTTTTTCTTCTGACATTCCAAAAGTTTACCGCAGGAGATGTGGGAGCACGGCCAGAAGTTCGACTGGGATATCCATTCCATATATGCACACATCTACAGGCTTGGAGACACCTTGGCATCGAGCAAGGAAGGGGTCGAGGACCTCTTTGGGAAGGGGGCTGACCTCAAGCGCTCAAACAAAAACCCCTTTCGTGCAGGATCCCTAGAGCGATTCCACTTCCAAAACTCGTACTGGGTCAGGTTGCCAGGAGATGCTTACCCCAAGGTGTCAATTCTAAAAGAGGATATGGCACATGTGCAAAACCAGCCGCGTCGCACACATGTCAACTTGGGCGCAGCAGCCCCTCCGTCTACCACTTTGAAGATCATGCGGGCAGCAATTTTGAAGAAGAAAAGGGGTTACTAAGCACAACTTACTAAAGTACCAGTGTCAATTTTTGGAGACCCACTTCTCAGGTGTGAAAACTGTTGAAACGGGTTTGTTTGTAATGCTTAAGCAATGGAAAACTGGGTTTGTTGTTTTTTCCCCGGTGGTCAATTATGATTGCTCGGCTTCATTCTGAGGCTTGCGTGCTGCTGAAGATCCACGTGTTGCTGAAGCTGAACGGGGTGGCGCTTTGCCAGACATCGACGATGCCAAAGCTGCGTCTCACATTGCAGAGCTTCAGTCAGTCGGGGCCATGGTCGGGCTAAGGAAGGCTGCCGCTCTGGGGTACCACACTGCACATTTGTGGGTGGGCAAGCTTATGAACTGCGGACTTCTATTTGAAGAAATTCTCACCAATACGTGCTACCTCAGTTTGGGTTTTCATTCAGCGGGGGGAATTTGCTGGCAAGTTTGTCCCTTGGGGCCTGCTGATGAGAATGGCAAGCAATATTTCAGCCTGGTCAAAGAAGGGATGGGGCCTGAAGAAGCAAGAACATGCCTTCAGTTTTTCTGCCCAACAAAGTTGCAGCTGTCTTCATCAAACGAGAATGAGGAAGAGTATGCAGGGGTGCCAACCACAGTTTGTTTTTCAGCGCAAATTGAACTGTTGTTTTTGAAGAATACGGGTAAATATTTTTTGTTCGTGATTATAAACTCTTGCAGTGTTAAACCTAATTTTTGTCTTCAACTTTTTAGCACTGCAACATGGGTGACAAATCCGAGGTTGCCCATGGGATGTACCGGCTGATGTGCAAGGAATTTTGCTGCAACGCACTGGCCAGAACGAATCTTTGGTTCGCTTTTGGCTGCGCTTTGGTAAAGTGGAAACAAAAACAGAGCTGGGAAAGCTTGTGAAGCTCCTTCTTTTTGCCAACAAACTCAAAGTTGTTCGCCACAAGGAGAAAACAGCTGGATTACGGTCCCAAATGTTCCTCAGAGTAGCTATTTTAGATTGTTTGTATGCTAGTTTGTATGCTTTCCTGTCTCCCATTCAATTTTCACTTGCCTCCCATTCAATGACCCTGCGCGCATGCGTGTGTGGGTGGGTGGGTGGGTGTGTGTGTGTGTCCGCGTGTGAAAACATGCCTGGACAACTTAGGTTTACCCTGATCCGCGCCTACTTTCCTGACCTGAGCATGGACAAGACCGAGAACATGCTTCTTCGTTGGGTGCCGGCTACCAAGGATTCAGTCGACACTTCCAAACCGAACCTGAAACCAAGTGGCTTTTACGCATCATATTTGGCAGATGTTTTGGGGCAGTTGGACGGAGAAGAGGACGGGAAAGATTTCCGGTCTCTAAAAGATGTTGTCGATGATTACAAGAGACAAGAGTTTGTCCTGAGTCGTGTTGGCATGAGCCGCAGCCGTGCTAGCCACTGGACACCGAGACAGATAAAGAATTTGAAGCCGCCCTCATCTACCCTTGTCTGGCAAGTGACCGCAAATGCCTTCCAGGGCTACTACCCCATACCTCAGAAGGTGCTAGATGAGAAAATAGCAAAAGCAACCTGAAGAAAATCAAGACGATGTGGTCTAGGCATCGGGGATACCAGACAAAACGAAACAAACTGCAAGCGCTGCAAGAGATCGTCAAGTGGCTGTGGAAGATGCACAAGGAAAACGGTGGTGATTCTTAGGCTTGGTTTCACCTGGTAATTTCTTACCGTTTGTCTATATCTCTCTGGTATGAGTTTTTCACTCCCGTAGTGAGAGTTGTTTGCGCCAGTTTGTTGTTTCAGCTGAGGATGCCTCCGGAGAACCTTCAAAACAACAAGTGGAAAGCGCTCTAGAAGAAGCAGAGACCGCGGTGCAAGATGAGACTGGCAACGTTGCGGAGGAAGATCTAGTGGACATCCCCAAAGATGTCATGGACTTTCAGACTGACAAGGCAAGCAAGACGGACAAGACCGAGAAAGAGACGGGGTCACCAGATTCTGCAATGTCCGGTGCTGCTGACAGCAGCAGCAAGGACAGCTCCAGCAGCTCAAGTTCTGAAAAGCCCAGCCCCAAAAAAGCACAGCCTCGAGCACAGCCCAAACAGGGTCGTGGCCGGGGGAGGGGAAAGGTAGCCGCAGAGGCACCCGCAGTTGAACAGCCTAAGAAACGCCCAGTCCCACTTGACACCAGCAATGTCAAGATCAACCCTAGTCTTAAATTAAGGCTGGATGCTGCTGCAGATGCAAATGCTTTAAAATCTGCACCATCGTCCAGTTCAAAACCACCTGCAAAGAGGAGAAAAACCTGAGAGAAAACTCAGAAGATGTTCTTATCGTCCAGCTCAATTTCGTTTTTGCACATAAAAAAGGACTTGTGAGAAACGAAGAATAGCAAAGACATGTATGTGTGTTTTTGACACATGCCAAGCTCTCAGGGAAACTCAGACACAAAATGTGGCTGATACAACTCACAGAAATTCACATTCGCGAAGCGAAAAAAATGATTCACTTGCTCGTGAAGGATATTCATCATGTCATCAAGAACTTCAAGGCGAGGTTTTCCCAGGGGTGTCAGATTCCCAACCATGGAAAATCATGAAAACCCATGGTTTTACAAGTGGGGTATGTTGGTTAGGGGTAGTTGACAGACTCTTAGACTCTTGGTTTTTGAATTTTGGGGAACAACATATGTTTTTTTTGTAGCACTGGCGCACGAAAAGATAGGTTCTTTTAAAGAACCCGTATTTATCCCGTAGCGAACCCGTATTTTGTTCAAACTGGGCAGAACCTAGGTTTTCAGAACCCGTATTTAAACCGTAGCGAACCCGTCTTTAACCCGTAGTAAGCCGTAGTAAAAATATGGGTTCTGGGCTCTGGTTCCTAGGTGCCCTGTGACGGGGGTTTAGGCCCGATTTGCAGGACAAGCTTGCTCCAAAAAGTTGGATCCATGACTTGCTGCCTCAAAGCTGACGCTTTCAGCATTCTTTTCTCAATTTACAGGGATGTCAGGAATGATAAATGGCTTCTTGTGGATTCCAGTGGATATGATGGAGCAAGTGCAAAAAATGATGAAATATCAGGAAGATAAAAAACAGGTTCTTTTTAAGAACCTGGTTTTTGTTGTAAAACCCCGGCTTTTTTCACTGGCCCTACAATTTTGCAGGTCCCCGGTTCTCTTGGTAGGCCTATGTCAAGGAATTGCAGAAGTGCGTCGAGCATTTCTCCAAAGACAAGGCATGACCAAAAGGACTTTGAAGGATTCTTTTGATTGTCAGGATCAGTTGTAACCTGATCTTGGAGATGAAAATAGATGAAATAATATGAAATCAACGTGTTCATGAGACTCATCAGATGAACCATGGGCAGGTCTACACCTTCTGCATCTGGGGCGTGTCCCAGTTCTTGGATTGTATACGCTGGGAAGCACGAGGCATATTTCCAGGCAATGTATCTGCAATAGCCATGGCAGCAAGTATAGGAAAAGCTAAAAGCACTTGCTTTTCTTGACACCTCGACATGTCACTTTAAATGCGCAGATGCCACTGCCAGCCAAGGCATGGCGGTGAACTTCTCTCGCTTTGGGCTGTTACTTGGATGAAATCAACATGAAACGAAACGAAACGAACGTGAGGGCTGTGCCTGGGCCATCCATGACCCACTGAATCATTGGTGAATTGTTGGTTCTGCTGTGTTCCGCTGAAGGTGGAACCGTTGGTACAGTGATTTTGTGTTGATTTCACATGATTTCACACCCCAGGAAGCCGCCCTTGAACATCGCGATCTATGAGATGCCGGGAGATCATCCAGATGCAAGGCATCTCAGATCCAGGAAGAGGCAGACCTTCCGGGCAAAAAACATCACATGATTCACATGGCAGGGTATGTTCCCGTGGTTCCGCGCTACTTTCCTTCCCACTTCTCATGCAGCCTTTAGGTTACCAGGGAAACTATTTGAATGACACATTTGATTTTTTTTGTATTTGGTTGCTTTGAGCACAACACCTTTCTGCCACCAGAATGATACTCATAGATATTCACAGTGAGTTCAAACAGTTCAACTGGCCGTTTTTCCAGATACTACTTGAATGTGGCAATGTGGAGCACACTGCAGCCTCCGGAGAAAAAGAAACTTGAGGAGCTGATAGGCTGCTTGCCAAATATTGGCCGACTGGCTGAGCTTGGAAGTCGCGTGAAAGGGATGCATTCTAACCTTTTGAGCCAAGATGATTATAGAATATTGTAGAATATATTATTTATTGACTATTGTAGAATATTGATGAATATATACGGGTAGGAGTTTCCCTTAGGATTTCAGGGGGGTTAACCCCCCTATAGAGGATGGATTTTCTACAGTTCGAAAAGCACGAATTTGCTTAAATGATGCTTTCGAAGTTCCCCCATTTTTCTACAGAACAACTTTTGGAGACCTCTGAGTCGCAAGATACTGATTTTCTGGATAGTTTAGGTGCCCAAAATCCAGAAGCATAATGTGAGCATATGTGGCTCTAGAACATATTTCAATATATTTCATATCGTATTCGCAAGAATATGCGATTCAAGTACGGCGGTGTTTTTCTAAGGAAAAATGCTAAACATAGCTTCTAAGATGCACTTCTTATACGCGGCCATTTTTCTAGGATACCAAAATTGGTTTGATGTCTGTTGATAGGTTTTCTTGGGTCCCTAATTTATACCGCCTACATGTTCTACTAGAAAAACACACGTGCCAACCGGACCAGGCGAACTGGTACAGGTATATGAATATTGTTGAATATTATAACGAATTATAGAATATTACAGGATATTATAGGATATCATAGGAACATTAAAAAAAATGTGTTGAGTGCCACTGAGTGCCCAGGTCCGCAGGAAGTTGCTCCAGAAACAAGGCCACGGCACACGCTGCGAAGTATGGACGTTTTCGCGTGTTGTCAGAGTCTCAGTATGTATCACGCGTGTATCAGTGTCTTTGGCAAGTCCCACCCCATCCCAGACGATCCACCAATCCGATCCCAGACCAATCAGCGTCTCAGCTTCGTATCAGATTCGCAATTTTGGTTTTCAAATAGGGGAAAAGTCAAAAACCCAATGGTTTACAACAAAGATTTCTGGAACCCATTTGCAATGTTCGCCTCAGGTTCCGGGCTGACCACGGCGTATTTGTGAGGGCATTTTCAGCTTGGCAAACGTCAAGGCGCAAAGGTTTTCAGCCCGATTTGGCTCGAGCTTACTGGAGCTCCCACATTTTTTGTCAGATTTCCGTTGCAATGGAATTTGGCAAGCAAAAGACTTGGCAATTTGGCGTGGTGACTGCAGGCTTTACCGAGGTAATTTATTTTCTGCATCTAGCATATACATCTTTACTTTGTGTTGAAGACTTGGGAAGAACAGGAGATTAGCCCGCAACGACCATTTTGAACGCGACAAAGACTACGCTCTTTGTTGATGCTTTGTTCTTTGCCGATGTGCTCCTGGGGACCACTGTCCTCTAAAATATGCATCCATCATCAATCGTATCTTCAGATTCTTTTGTGCTTGGGAAAGGAATGGCAACGCATGTGTTCTCTCTGGAAGCACACACACAAATTTGATCAAATTTGTGCAGCTCATCCTTGAGAGCACAAAGCTATGTAAATATGTAGAGTTGTCGTCGATGGGTTTGGTTATGGAGTGTTCCATGCCAGTCCTCCACTTCACCAGTGGAGTTAAACTTGTGGTTCTGTCCATGCTCCGGTGTCAATCCTGCGTTGGTAAAAAGAGATGCGATGCAAGAAACAGGGGCACAGGTGCGGTCACCAACCAAAAAACAACAAGCTCCTGGCATTTGCCCATCTAATCTCATCTACAAGGCATTTGAAGCTTCCAATTCGTGCCGCCAAGGCAGGGCGACGGAGTGAGTCAGTAGCAAACTTCAGATGTGTCGGTGCAATTCGGTGCATATTTTGTGATGGATGGCCAGGCTTCGGTGGGACAGCAGCTCTGGACTTGGAGAGCGCAGGGACTGAATCTGCATTTGGCTTGCCAGCTGGCCTCCAAATTCCGAGAACGGAACAGACTTTGGAACATAGTGAATCCATGTGAATCCAAAACGCAAACTTTGGCCCTCCTGAGAAGACTTTGCAGGAACACCCATATGGAACCAGTTGCGAGGTCTGCAAACTGCGAAGCTGCGGTTTTTCCAGAGGCTGAAAGCTCAGGAATTCAAAACCCTCGAAGCTGCGAAGGCTACACTGACTGCTTGGATTTGCATGGTGCATCTGTGTGCCTGAACCGTGTACCAGGCATCAAGTTCTGCAAGATCGAGCAGAAGTTCAGTATCGCAACCGAATTTGCAGCTTGATCCAATATGAACATATGTCCATTTGCTAAATTGGTTTCCACTGGCAAGTGATTGTTTTGGGACACCGATTGTATCCTTGATGGTGCTCCACATTCGTACTTCGCAAGTGGTTATCCATGGTGATGCATGGTGATCCATGAGGTTGCACGGTGTGGAGGCAGAGGACCGGCACAACTGGAATGCTATCCGCCATCCCAAACTAATGTCACCGATACACAGCGGCAGGACGGAGCTGATGTCATCAGTTGGATAACTCCATGCCTTGCCGAAGAGGAGACCCGGTGACACCGCTTTTGAAGCGGATATGAATATATATATATATATACATATATATATATATTAAATTTCACGAGCTCCTGGGATTTTGTGATTTTTAGGGAATATTGGATATCAAGGTCAAGATGCAATATTTGGTGCAGTGTACGCGCACATAGGTGGCACCAAAAAACTTAAGCGTCATGGTTTGCACGGGTTTGCAGTGGATCAGCCTTCCATAAATGGAAGTGGTCCAATTAATCGTTCAGAAAAAATGAAACGGTCGGAAACGGTCGGAAACAGGCGGAAACATGATCAGGCCAAAACTTGTTCAACCCGCATTTTTTTTTAAATAAGCATTTCCGCGCAACGCCGTTTTTTTTTTGAAGGTCCAAAGGTGTCCAAGGGGAAACGGTTGGAACCAGTCGGAGATCGCACCTTCGCTCGGCAAAAAAGACATGTTTTTACACAATTTTCAAACATGTTTCATGAACATATGCTACAAAACGACTACTTTTTTCCGACCGTTTCCGACTGTTTCCGACCGTTTCCGACCGTTTCATTTTTTCTGAACGATTAATTGGACCACTTCCATTTATGGAAGGCTGATCCACTGCAAACCCGTGCAAACCATGACGCTTAAGTTTTTTGGTGCCACCTATGTGCGCGTACACTGCACCAAAAATTGCATCTTGACCTTGATATCCAATATTCCCTAAAAATCACAAAATCCCAGGAGCTCGTGAAATTTAATATATATATATATATGTATATATATATATAGAGAATGGGCTAGCGCCCTGGTGCCGCCGACCCTCCTTCTTAGGAGGGGTCCGGCAGAGAGAGACCGGCACAGTCACCCCACCCAACCGTGTTGGTCTGCTCGGGCTCAACTATGTAAGCATAGTACGGCCCAGGAGGGGCATCATTTCGATTTAGAAACCCCTCACCACCACTTCCCTTTCTGTCTCTGCATCCTACATGTAGACAGTACTGGCAAATAAGAGCAGCTTTGAGCATATGAATCAAATCAGCGCTTGTAGATGTAGCTAAAAGCCACATCTCTGTATACCCTTTTTCATGGTAGCTTTGATATCGCAGCACCGGATTGTGGGTGACCCCAATTTTGAATACACAATGACGGATTCCAATTTTGTTTCTGAAACAATCAACCTTTTCGATACAATGGGCCAAAAGCTTTCCACATGTTATCTTAGACGCGCCAGTCCGCGCACAGTGGCACAGAAGGCCAAAGGGCTTCACAGTCTCCCAGTCAAAGGTTGAAGCATCAAAGTCATCAGCAAGCTTGGCCAGATCCTTTTTGGATGGGTGGGTCAAACATGAAATGATGTTTGCACACAGAAGTATTCAAAGTCTTTTCCTATCGAATTTTTGCAGTATGCAATATCCCCAAAACTGATGACATAAGAAACCGGCCGGAGGGTGAAAATCACGTCATTACCTCGCTTGCCATGCACCAAGCAGCCATCTTAGATGGTTTGGCAGGACTGCTTGCTTCCCCAGAACCCCCAGTAGCTAAACCTTGGGAGAAGTAATCCATATAGTTGTTTTCATCGCCAGTGTCTTTCCTGAGCTGAACGTGTGAGCAGGATCTTGAAAGATTTGTTTAACACTATTGTGGGGAAATGGGGTTACAGGATTGTTGAATATAGTAATATAAACGCTTTTGGAAGTATGCAACATTCAGTCAAAGAACGGGTTCTTTGCAGGATTCAAAGGATCATCAGCCTCACCATGGAATCGCAAGGATAGCACCGGAGCTGGTGTTGATGGAGGTAGCAAACCAGCAAGCTCGCAGGTAGGTTTCAATTTCCTGAGTTCCATGGACAAAAAGGCTGCATTTATTGAAAGTTGGTAATTGGTAATTTGACAGGTATGCCTCCAACAACTGCAGCCATGACATTTCCCATGTTCCTGTTTAACAGCGCCAAGTCCAGCAACCCGCTTGGCGCCAGTAAAGGGGCATTCATAGGTCAGTAAAATATCAAGCAGGTCATCCTTCATGAGGGCCACTAAATGGAAAGGTCAGAGCACGGATCAGTTTTGCCCTTCAATCTGTGATTTGTTGAATGGCGCATGGACCGCCATAAATTCTTTCAGGAACCCTCTTTGTAGATACCGAAGAGAAAGTAAACGGCGTGGCAGCGGGCACGCAATGGCGGTAGAGTGTGTTTGGATTGTTCGCGTAAAGCCTGGGGCTGGTGGAGATGCAGCGTATGCAAGGTACAGCAAGCAGCGTGCGCTTTTGAAGCATGGCTGGCGCAGCATGGTTCTTGTAATGGTGACCAAGTCTGCAGCAACTGCTGGAAATGCCCCATTCCCCAGGGGAGCATCAGCAAAGCCGTACAACGGGTAGCTGCAACGCAGGCGAAAGTACCGGTGAGGGCAGCGAAAGAGAAAAATGCACGTGCCATCGCGGATGTCTGGGCTGCCATCGCGGAAAGAAAACGGAATAGAGAACAGGAAGGCGGGCAAACGAAGGAAGCAGAGCCGAAGGCAACAGAACGCAGACAAGACGACGGAACAGAAATGTCCATCGCGGATGTCCAGGCTGCTACCGCAGCACAAAAACGGAAAAGAGAGGTGGACATCGCCGAAACACAGGAAGCAGAGCAGAGAGCAAAGCAACGCAAAGACGGAACAGACAAGGCCCGAGAAGGGCAGACAGACTTGCAGGCTAAAGAGAAGGAAGGCGCCAAGCTCAGCGAGAAGGCGACGGTGCCAGCAAAGGAAGGAAAAGCAACGCAGAAGAGAAATTTATGCGAATACATTTGTCCGCATTGTAGTGAATCTGTGACTAGCACCGTGCGTACAGGTCGAGTAAATCATCGCCGCAGATGCGGGAACCGATTTCCTGTGAAGGACGGCCTTGTCAGCAGGGTGGCAAAAGCCTACGTGTACGTGTGCCCATTTTGCATCGGAGAGATTTTGAGTAACACCAAAACGGGGCAAATAGACCATAGAACTGTGTGCGGCAACCAATTTCATGTGAAGGACGGCCTTGTCAGTAGGGTGGCAAAAGCTTACGTTTATGTGTGCCCATTTTGCAACGGGGAAATTTTGAGTAACACCAAAACGGGGCGAATAGACCATAGAACCGTGTGCGGCAACCAATTTTATGTGAAGGACGGCCGTGTCAGCAGAGAGACGCGGCGCCGTGCCCACTCGTGCCCGGCGTGTCAACCCAGAGCCTCCAAAAGTCCTTAATTAAGGAGATACCTTAATTAAGGTCTCCAGGATTTTCTTAATTAAGGACTTTTGGAGGAACTTCTGGAGACCTTAATTAAGTGATCTGGCTTTGGTGCTGTTTTTGTGGTATAATGGCTAAGTTTGTGTCAAAATTGTCATATGTTTTTTCTCTGCTGTCCTTTAGAAAGTTTTACTTTTTGCAAAAAAGTAGGCAATAATCTCCTCATAGGAGATTTTGCTTTTTCTTTACAGAAACTATCCTCTGAGGAGGTTTTCTTTCCTCATCTCTTTGTAGAAATCTTTCTCTCAGGAAATTTTATCTTCATATCCTTGAACAAATCAAGATGTAGCAAGCACCTGTGCATGAGGTCTCAGGTCATGGGCAAAGATAGGAACAAAAAACAAATGTGTGCTAGTGCCTTCTTCACAAGAATTCCTTTTTTCCTCTTCATGCAACAGGCCACTCTGGAAGTTCGTCTTGAGACATGAATTTGTACATTGTATTTCTGGAAGTTGAAGCAATTGTAATTTCCTCAGATGTGATTGATCTGTGGCATCAAACCTAATTAAAATCAATCAAGGGGAAAAAAAAGAAGAAAACAATCAATGGCAAACAAGGTTCTCCCATATCTTCAGATGTCCAATTCTGAGAAGGGCAGCACTCATCAAATTCACATGGAAGAGGTGGTGCTTGTGCTTCAATCTCCAAAACATCCCTTCAGGATCGCTCTCAGAGAGGGAGACATAAAGTAGCAGGAATCTTTGCCCTGCTGTAGCTAATTCTTGTGGGTTCCAAAGGTCTCTGGACAGCGTGCTGCATTCAATCATGGAAAATGGTGTTTTCAAATGTGCTGAGCTTGTCCAGCAATGCCTCTGCAATTTCCAAGCTCCATGGTATGAGAGGCTTGGTTTCTCCAGCAGATGCTCTAAGCTTGGGAGCTGAGACTTTGCTTGTTTTTGCCAGTATTCCTGGGCATTCCCATAGTCAAAGTATCAAGCCTGTTGTCCACTGAACTTCTTCTGTAGAAAGATTGCATGGATCTAAAAACAGAACTCAACCTCTTGTCTTTGCTGGCTCCAGGAAATCTATCAAGGAGGAAATAAATCAAATTCCCTAGAAAATCTTGGGCAACTCCCAGGTCACAAGCATGCAGCCAATCAATAACAAAGCAATCTATCTGGACGCCTGGCACAAAATAATGCAGATATTTGCTTTCCTTCTGTTATGCAATCAACAAAATGATCCATGGTCGTTTTTCTCTGCATGGCTCCTCCAAGCTAAGTGGTGCAATCCCTGCTGTTATCTTTGGTGGCATAGCACCTATAGCAAATGTTGTCTGTGCCAGGCCACCCACTGAGGTTGAATGTGTTTTTGTACATTTCCAATCTCCTCTAACTTCTGTGAAAAGTTGCTGCTTCTCCAGGAAGACAGGAATGGGTTACCTGGGTGCATGGAAAGAATCCAGCTTCTGTTAGGAGTGTCCAGTCAGAAACCAAAAAGAAATTGGCTGATGATTGATCTTTCCAGGAAAAACAAGAAAACAGGCAATGACAGGCAACTTTTTTTCACCTTGTGCTCACCAGCTCTGTATCCTCACTTCAAAGTGCAAAAACCGCTACATCCTTCTCTGCACCCTATATCCTATATATCTGTATATGTATAGCTCCATGTATATATGTGCGGGAGCATTGCTAAAACACATAGTCAGAGTTTAGAGAAGGATTTCTCCTCAGAGGAGTTTAGCCTTCAAGGAGAGCCTGGATTCTCCTTTTCAAAGCTTTCAGCCCATCTAGGTGCTGACTTCCTT